CCAATGGTCTTTGCACACATCAAGGCTTTCAACTATTCCTGACCAAGTCCTGCCAAATTTGGGCATATTCCTGCCTCTGCCTGCCCTGTTCTAATTTGGCTCTCTAAAGACGGTTCATGACAAGAAGCAAGACCAAGATAGAAAAAAGGGCTAAAGGAGACAATGTGAATGATGGTGAAGACTAGAGGAAGACTTTATTCTTTCTGTAACATTTTCAGGAAGGAAAGTGAGGCTTGCTTACAACCAGGACTGGCAATCTTCCAGAAATGGTTTGCTGAGGTATTCCCTACCTCCCTCCTTTAAGGATCTCCTTTTGCATTATAGATAACCTTGGAAAGGGTGGCACCTTTAGTCTATCAGTTACACCTAATCAGTTGTAGCCATCTGAGAGCCAGAATGGATCATTGGTAGAGGGGCCTGGGAAAGGAGAAAAGCACCAGGGGAGTAAAAGGATGCTTATGGGGGAGGGAAAAAGCCAAAGAACATTTTGCCCAGGGTCAATCTTAGCTATTTAAAATCACACCACTTCTTCACCTGGCTTCTTTGGCACATGTATCAACCCATGGATTGGGGAAAGTAGAACCATTCTTTTGCTTTCTAGAAGGAAAGTACTGATATTTCAGGTCTCTGCAATCTGCCCAGGGGCTGTCCAGTTTGTCTAAACTTCAGGATATCAGAGAGGTGATGCACATGTAGTCACCAAATTAGGAAGTTGTGTGGAAGAGCAAATGTAAGACCTTATTAGAGGGATTCTTTAAATGCTCATGATGCTCACAGTCCTTGTCGACCTGAATGTCCTTGGAAGCTCCAGTCTGGCCATAAGGAGAGGATGAGGGGTGCTGTAGCAAGGGAAGGATCTCTATGCTGAATTAATACTCTCCCCAGAGCCCTGGGAGATCTCTGGTAAAAAAAAAAAAAAAAAAAATCTCTGGTAAAAAAAAAAAAAAAAAACTCTTAAAGATTCATGGAAGGGAATTGTGATAACCTGATGGGGATAAGACCATCAGGGCTTAGGGGACCCCATTTCTTAGGCCATGAGAGGAGACGGTGAAGGAATGCTGCCTGAGCAGGAGCCGGAGATAAGGGCAGAAGTTAACTGCCTAGTTAGGGGACATTCCAGGGACCTAGGAATACAGCAAAGCAGATCCCACCTTAAAGCCTGAGGTGTTTCATGCCTAAAAAGCCATGGAGCGGCTTGACATGAAAGCCACCCATGGATGTAGAGGAAGATTGCAAAATGTCAGCCAGGAGAAGGGACACCAGGCTCCAATTCTTAAAAACACCAGGTTGAGCTCCTTCCATGCCCTTTCTCAGAATGCCTCAGTTAATGGGGAGCTTTGTTCCTCAATCAAATAAGACACAGCCGCTGAGTTCAGAGATACTATCTAGACATACCTTAAGGCATGGCTGTGCTTAGTAACAAGCTATGTGTTCCTGCTTCTATAGCGAAAAGATTAATTAGCTAAGGCATCTTGTGACTTTTAGGGGAGACTTGAAGCTTCTACACATTGTAACCCACGAGCTTTTCACGTAAAATCATTATAATCTGTAGCATGAAAAAGAGAATAAAAACTGGGTGCTAGATTTCAGTCACTACCACCTGGCTCACAGGAATTCTGGTGATCTCCTGACTTCCCCACACCCCTTACCTTGCTTTTTGTGTCCATGTCTTTGTCTTTCCAATCTCTCACAGTGCATGCTGCCCAGAGACCTGGTTATATCCAGGGTGTCATGAACCCCGATAATAACCAGCAACTTTTACAAGGCTATGTCCTCAGAATATTCCAGATTTCCCCAATCTTACTAAATGCTTGTCTTTCCAAATACTATAATTCCATAATCTTTCTCAAAAATTGTAAAACTATACGTGTTAAGTCTGTTTTGCACTGCTGTAACGGAATGCCTGAGCTGGGTATTTTATAAAGAAAAGAAGTTTTATTTGGCTCACGTTCTGCAGGCCATGCAAGAAGCATCGTGCCAGCATCTGGGTTTGGTGAGGCCTTCAGCAAGCTTCCAGTGAAAGCAAAAGGCCAAAGGGGAGCAGGTGTGTCACATGGTGTGAGAAGGAGCAAGAGAGGGAGGAGGAGGTGCTAGACTCTTTTCAAAACAACCAGCTCTCATGTGAACTAATAAACTCACCCATTATCTCAGGGAGGGCACCAAGCCATTCATGAGAGATCAGCCATCATGACCCCAACACCTCCCACCAGGCTCCACATTCAACACTGGAGATCAAATTTTAACATGAGATTTGGAGGGGCCAAACATCCAACCATATCACTATATTTGCTTTTGTACTTACTTTATTATTATCTGTTAGGGAACATTTGGAAACAAATGCTTTTTATATTATAGAAAAGCAATACCCAGATTCAAACTACCACCAGAAAACAGAGATTCATTTTATCCAGTTCTCTTATCCTCCCATTTTCTGAAATATTGTTTGTAATTTTTCCAGATTATAGGATTTGAGTACATTTACCAATAGCATCTTTCTCTGAATGTGTTCCAGTTCCTTTGCTAAGCCATGGCTTGTTTTACAGCCCTCCAAATGATGATCCATGACTTCTCAGCCCAATCATTAGAAGAAGGAAAGTTCGGATGCATTGTTAATTATTATCCCAGTACCAGAGAAATCAGAGGACAGCTTTAAAAAGTAATCTAAGGTTATGAAAAAAAGTCTTATCTTTCTTTGGTTGCAGGAGCTCACCTCACTAATATTATTCTATAAATAAATTTTTTATTATTCCTAATTCATTTCCTTGGGAGATAAAACTCCCTCACTATACTTCCTGAAATTGAGACTATCTGGGCCCCTTCAATTCTATGAAGGCTGAGAGAGGTGAGGAAGCTGCAGAAGAACAGTTTGACGGTAGCAGAGATTGGTTTAATGAGATTTAAGGAAAGAAGCCATCTCCATACCATAAAAGTACAAGGTGAAGCATCAAATGTTGATGTAGAAGCTGCAGCAAGTTACCACCAAGATCTAGCTAAGATAATTGATGAATGTGGCAACACTAAACAACAGATGTTCAATGCAGAAGAAACACCTTTCTATTAGAAGAAAATGCTATCTTGGACTTCTATAGCTAGAGAGGAGAAGTCAATGCCTGGCTTCAAAGCTTCAGAGGACAGGCTAACTCTCTTGTCAGGGGTTAATACAATTGGTGAGTTTAGGTTGAAGTCAATTCTCATTTATCATTCTGAAAATCCTAGGTCCCTTAAGAATTATGCTAAATCTACTCCACCTGTGCTCTGTAAATAAAACAACAAAACCTATGTGTCAGCACATCTGTTTACAGTATATTTTAAGCCCACTGTTGAGACTTACTTCCCAGAAGGAAAGATTCATTTGAAAATATTACTATTCATTGACAATGCACCTATTCACTCAAGAGCTGTGATAGAGATGTACAAGGGCATTAATGTTGTTTTCATATCTGCTAATACAACATCCATTCTGAAACCTGTAAATCAATGAGTAATTTTGACTTTCAAGTCCTACTATTTAAGAAATACATTTAGTAATGTTATAGCTGCCATGCATAGTGATTCCTCTGATGGATCTGGGCAAAGTAAATTAAAAACTTTCTGGAAAGGATTCCCCATCCAAGATACCATTAAGAACATTTGTGATTCATGGGAAAAGGTTAAAATATCTACATTAACAGGAGTTTGGAAGAAGGTAATTCCAACCCTCATTGGATAACTTTAAGGGGTTCAAGACCTCAGTGGAGGAAGTAACTGCAGTTGTGGTAGAAATAGTAAGAGAACCAGAATTAGAAGTGGAGCCTGAAGATATAACTGAATTGCTGCAATCTCATGATAAAACTTTAATAGATGAAGACTTGCAAAGTTGAGAAAAGAAAATGATTTCTTGAGATGAAATGTCCTGGTGAAGCTACTGTGAACATTGTTGAAATGACAATAGAGGATTTAGAATATTACATAAACTTAGTTGATAAAGCAGCAGCTGAGTGTGAGAGGATTGGCTCCAAATTTGAAAGAAGTTCTACTGTGAGTAAAATGCTATCAAACAGCATTGCATGCTACAGAGAAATCTTTTGTGAAAGGAAGAGTCAATTGAAGCAGCAAACTTCATTGTTGTTTTATTGTAAGAAATTGCCCCAGCCACCCCAACCTCCTGCAATGACCACACTGATCAGTCAGTAGCCATCAACATCAAGGCAAGACCTTCCACCAACAAGAAAATTATGACTTGCTGAAAGCTCAGACTCAGATGAATGTTAGCATTTTTTAGCAATAAGTTTGTGGGGTTTTTGTAGAGGTGGGCTCTTATTATATTGCCCAGGCTGGTCTTGAACTCCTGAGCTCTGGTGATTTTTCTGCCTCAGCCTCCCAAAGTTCTGGGACTATGGGCATGAGCCACCATGCCTGGCCTAATAAAGTATTTTTTATTAAGATATATGCATATTTTAGACATAATGCTAATGTACACTTAATATAGTGTAGAAGTAACTTTTATATGCACTAGGAAATCAAAAAATTTGTGTGACTCACTTTGTTGCAATATTTACTTTATTGTGGTGGTCTGGAACTGAACTTGGAATATCTCCAAGGTATGCCTGTAATATTCAGGGGCTCAAAAATGATGAGTCTACATTTTTTGTGTCAGACTTCCATGGCAACCTGCTAGAACTCTGGAATAATCACCACTGGCTGCAGTGCCAGATTCTGGTAAGGATTTCCTGACCCCCTGAACAGATACTAAAGATAACAGAAACAGGGCCAGAAGTAGGTATGATAACAAAGCTGGGCGTGGTACTTTCCCTGGCCTTTGTGACCAATATTGCTGGTCTCCTGTGTTATCGAGCTTCATAAAAGAAACTCATACAAAGCAGAGCTGTTTTAATTATTGTCAGGCTGACATTTCAAAAAGTGTTAAGAAGCTATCTGTTCTATGTTCTATCTGTTCAGATGTTTCCCGAAAATGTTTGCACTGTTTTTATAACTTAAGGCTTCAATAACAACTCATGAACAGGTGAAAGTTTGCTATTTATTTACTCTTGGAAGAACACTGGAAGAAAAAGGCAGGGGATGTAGGCAGTGTAGAAGAACAGAGCTGGCCACATGTGGCTTTAGCAGCTGCAGGGAAAACTGGCTGAGGCTAAGGTTACATATTTCTGTTCAGTAAGGGTATCCATGGTGATAACTCTCATGATGACGGTAATCATCCTGGTAACCATCCTGGTATCCTTGGTGGTAACTATGGTAACCGTAGCCTGCATACTCATCTTCTGGGCAGCGCATCCCCAGTGACTGCTGAATGGCCATTTCCTGTCTCCGAAGTTGCATTGAATCAATTAAATCATACACGATCACCATGGACCACATTGGGGAAGGATACCAGGACTTGACATTTCCGTCTTTTCCAACTAGAAGCATGGAGAAGTACTCCGGGCTCACTTGAAAATAATTACGTATGTCTTTCACCAAATGGGCTGGTATGTCTTCTCGCTCAACAACAGAGCTCCCTAGAATAACATTAGAATAGTTGTTGTTAGGGGATTAAAGTGTCAAGAGTTCATGAAAACTGATCAAAGTCAGAGGAAACCACTGTGAGAATAGAGAAGACCCATGATACTGTTTTCTTTAGCTCAAAATCCCATTAAAGAAGTTTGCTGGTGTTTTTTTCCTACTAGAAACTAAGTGTCCCTGCTGTTCTACAACATTATTCATATCCACCTTTGGGGCACATGATATGTCTTTTGTAGGAATATTATAAAATATAAAGCCAGTCCCTTAATTTAATTCTGGCAAGACCAACTTCTTTAAAAGTTGTCATTAACAAAGATTATATTTTTGTTAATATTTTAAAGTTTATTTCCAATTAGCTCAGTTACATCTTTGTAATTATAGTTTTCCTTTTGACACTTATCTTTATAACAAAAAGCTTATTTGTCAAAAGTGAAAAATACCAATTATGTTAAAATCTGGATAAATATATTTGAATTATTATGATTAGTGAAAAGAAGAAAGGGGAAGGAGAAAGGGAGCTGATACTTTCTGGGGACCTGCTCTATAAGCACAGTGCCAGATACTTCACACACATTATCTCATTTTAAGAGACTGATCTTGGAAGGAAGGACTGGGTTTGCTCTCTGAAACCCTCAGTCAATAGTCATTTACTTTTAGCTTCTTTGAGCCTTTTACTGTTACTTTGAATGATTTTATATAAAAAACAATTAGTCCTTGCACTGCACCCCCCTTCCTACACCTACACACACACACACACACACACACACACACACACACACACGGTGGGAGGAGGATTCAATTAACTATATTCATCTTAAAGGTACACCCACTGCTTGCATATAGCTTAACATAATTTAACTGAACTACACACTAGCTTATACTGTTTGAAGATAACAACACATTACCATTAATAGGAAACAGTTCTAACACTCCCCCGACTTCATCTCCAAGGCCTAAAAGCTTCAGAATGGTTATATGGCGCAGACCTGAGAGGAAAAAAACCAAAAAAATATAAAATTAGAGGAAAAGATTTTAGGTCACCTTTTACTTCAAAGGCCTAATATCTGACAGTTAAAAATCTTTTACATTTAAAAAGAATATAGAACATAACTTGATTAAGTAGAATAATCTATTTTTAAAATTTTCCATAAGAAAGTAAATACTTTTAAAACCTTGAAAAAGACAGATTGTAGATTTTAGTAATAACAATTTTTTAATAAATGGAAATAGAATCATTTTGCTCTTACACTGTGATTCTCACTCTACTAAATAACAAAAAGCAGCAACAAAAAAGCCCTTAGAACCTTACAATATCTGAGATAATCTAAGCTGATTCGTGCTCTGAAAAAAGTCAAGCCTGAATTAATAACAGCTGTTATGGATAACTTGTCTTTCACAGAAAATACTGCAGACCCCATCCACTGTGATGGTTAAAGGAATAGTTTTGCTTCCTCACACGAAAGTTTGTCGACTTGAAGGGCAGGTTCTTATCATTTTTTAGAGGATTCAGAGGGGAAACACTACACTTTGCCTTCATATCCTCGGCTAAAGTTTCAGGAGAGGAGGGAAGGTCACGCCTTGGTAGCTTGTTGGAATGCTTTTGAAGATGAAGAACACATGAAGGGATTCAGGAGAAGGAAAAGGAGGCCAAAGGGCCTGTCAAGTCATCATGTCAAGATTTCATGGTTTTAGATAAAATCCCAGCCTAGTCATTGTAATATCTTGAAACACATAATAAAATTATTGATGCTGTTGATTATTTAGGGGAGAAAACTGAATACTGCCATGGGAGGGTTCTTTTAAGGAGAAACTAAAATCAAGGCAAAATGCTATCCCCCCCAAATTTTTGTCACCTTTACTCTTTTCCCAGAGAAGTGAAGCACTCTGTTCTAAATATTGGTGAGTCATGTTTTCAAAAGGGAGGATCATGAATTTATTCCTGGAAAACATGACTTGTTCACATTTTTTTGTATATTACAAAAGGCCTTGCTTTCACTGATGGGACACAGGCTCTCTGTGTAGAGATTAAACATCAAGCAACACCTAATATCTGCAGCAAAGGCATCTTTAGAAAATTAACAAACCAGGATCTTATGTATATTCTTATTGTGAAGGATCCTTAACATCTCTAGGAACTTCTGTCCTAACTAGCACCATTGGTGGCTATATATAATTTAAGATAATTTAAACTAGGCTTAATTTGATGTTGGCACAATCAAATCTATTATGTTGATATAAAGTCTTAAATTATTAACCTTGATAATAGGGGTATAAATAAAAATTCATGAATTTTCCATTATTCTGGCTATTATGAGCTTGTTTTCTGCCTTCTTTTTAGTTATTTTATTTCTTAAAATTGAAATATACTTAAAATTTACATGTACTGGATCATAACAAGGACCCAGGCTCTATTAGTGCTTTATAAGACTTACATGCCCTCCTTTTTAAAAATTAAATACAGTTTCATAACTAATAGATTATTCTTCTTCCTAACAGAAGTATCAAAATAATGCTGATTCATATATGTTCTAATTATAAATCTTTTATCTGTAGCCCTTAACGACTTCTCCCCATCCCAACCCAATGAATCTCTCAAAATTCTCCCTCTGTAGAGGCATATCTCATATGAGATTTCAGTTGTGACTTCTACTTTTGAAATATGAAATTGTCATCATCTCCATCGTGCTTAGTAATAAATTCTACAATTGTCATCATCTCCATTGTGCTTATAATAAATTCTATGTACTATTTAATTTATTGTCTATCCATATTCAAAATATTAGCTCTTTCAGGCCACTAAAATAATAATATTTGGTAAATAAAGCATGTTAGTTTTCAAAATACTGCGAAATTCACTACAAAAAATAGAAAGTAAACCCTGTTTCTCCTTGACATGCTTGTCTTAAAAATAAGGTCCTACTTAACACATCTTGCTATCTTCCTAGTGTTCAGTTACAGATCAAAATCCTTTTTAAGGGAAAGGCAATATGGTATAGTTTGCTTCAATTAATACATTAATTCCCAAAGCCATTCCTATTTTACAAAAGGTATTTAATCTACAGAGAAGTACCCAATCAAGTAAGTGATGATCTTGAGACAAAATTTTAAAAAATGAACTGGAAAAATAATAAAGATCATTAAAAGTAAAGCAGCAGATATTATCAAACACTTGAATGAAGAACCAGAGAAGGAAGAATATTGGGGAGAAAAAAAGTTCCACAGTTGCCTAAAGCTCCAGTATGAAAGCAACTTTATATTCAGTATAATAGAGTATGTGTCTGGGAACCTATGGGGAGTATTTGGATGATCTAAGCTTCTATGTTCTATTTTAGAATTGACCAGGAGGAGAGTGGTATGGGAAAGCAGTAATGAGATGGCTTCCCACTCACCAAAATTGCATGCCTGACCACTGAGGGCAGAGAGCTGCTGTGAATAGGCCCAGTCTTCGTCGTTAGGAGCAGAGATCACCAGCAACCGCCTCCTCCACCGGAACCTGGAAAAGAAGCAGAAGGCCGCCATTACTGCTTCAAACAATAGGGGCCAGTGTAAGAAGGCAGAGTAACTTTGGCTGTCAGTTTTTCTGTGCCCAGAATAAAAAACACTAACCCTTATTGTCCTATAGCTCCTCAAAGCCATTAAACTACATTACCACATTCTTGCACCATTTCTGTTGTGTCTTCACCATCTTTCTACTTAGGCATTTGCATAGTGTGTCAGGCATGTGTCTGTGGTCACCAGGCCTGATGAGGTCACTTGAGGCAAAGCTCTCAGATATAACGAAGGCTGGCCAAAATTGTACGTTAAACTGTGGCAACCGAAATAGGGAACTCAGACGAGAACTGAAGAAAACTGGGCCTAGTAAAGTTCTTGCTATGGTTTGGAGGGGGTTAAGAAATGGATATATGCACAGGAAATGAGTAGAAAAAGAGGACTGAATTTTAAGTAGGTAACAGCGACAAGAAGAAAATGTAGGAGAATAGCTCAAAGGGTCAAGGAATAACAAAATGTTCCTAGAAAAACAAAACTCTATGTCCTTCCTCAGTAGCCAGTGGTTCTTCTAGAGGCAAATGCAAGTTCTAAAATTTACCCTATTAGTAAGAACCAACAATAAGTGGAATGGTGCTAAACCTAGAACCATAGTACTTCACAATATATAGTAAACTTGGTTTCTGCTCTTACAGTTCCAATGCAGTAGGGTAGTAGAAAAAGTTTTTGTCTTGTAGCTGGGAAATTTGAGCTCAAGTTTCATCACCACTACTTTTTAGGTGTCTTTGAGCATGTAACTCAATTAACCAAAGTCATAGTTTTTCTTTATTTCTAGAACCAGAAATAGCAGTATGTTCTTCAGAGGGGTGTTACAAGAATTAAACCTTAAAACCTATTGATGTGAGTTATCCATCTGACGACATGGATATAGAAAATTGTGTCTTAATCTGCAGGCTCCTAGACATAGGACTTTGTCCATTAATAGACCTTGGGGACTGTATCTGTCACAGTGCCACATGATAACCTATTTATCCTTATATGTGTGTATCACTTTATGGCTCGCTTTCACCTGCACAATACTATTCCTCATTAGAGCTAAGTGAATGCACAGTTTATTTCCCCATTTTACAGATAACAAAATGAGGTTTAGAGAAGTGAATAACTTCCTCAACTAGTAAATCTAATAGGTGGTACCAAAATACAGACTTCTCTGACTCCTAATCTAGTGGTTTCCCTAAGCTATGACCTTCAGAAATGCTGATACTTGGACAGTGCTGTCACTATCCTGAAGAGGGTATGAATGAGAAAGGGTATGCATCCAGACAGCAACTGTCTGGAGTTGTCTCAAGTTCCATCTTCACTGGAGTTTTGATTTCTGCCTTCAGAGCAGGCAACCGCAGGGTGTGAGCACACTCACTGAGTTGGCAGCCAGTTGATTTTATTCATAGCTTCTCTCCCTGTGCCCCTTCCAGACTCAAGAGTGAACATGAGAGTTTTCAACCTTCAAGAAAATGGCCTCTTGGGGGAATAGTGGTTTGGGTGAATGAGAGAAAATGATAGTCTGATGAAATACAACCTCTGAATGGATGCCTGTCGCAGAGCTCGCCAAGAATTGCTTGCTGTGACATTACATTCGCTTCCTCTGCTTGTTTTTCTTTAAAGGGAAAGAAAAACTAAAATCTCCACTGAGGACAGAAGGATGAATGTGTTTGGCGCAGGGGAGAGAGGAGTGTCTGAGACTGTCTGAGGTGTCTTGGGAAAGGGAACGGTGACTGCTGTTGGGCCACAAACACGGTCTCCTGTACTTCCCCTGCTTCCTTAGGAGACATGCCAGACCAGCACTGCCCCCCTCCCCAGCCCAGATCCAAAACAGGCCAGCCCTCCTGGCCTCATGTGGAGCTGTAGGGTGTCTTGGAGGGAGTTATTTTGGGTGAGGTGTATTTTTGCTTGTTTACCTGTGTGTACCACTGAATGCAGTCGTGATTGGAGAAGGATGGGATCTGAGACTCCCTGTCCCAGACACAACTGAGAGAAGGTCATTTCCCCTAAGTAATGATTCATCTTCCCACGGACCTTCACATTAAGAGACAAGGCCTCGGCTCACCACACTGGAGGAAAATAATTTCCAAAGGATGTAACAAGAGTTGTGAACCCAACCCATATCTTTATTTTGGACAAATTGCTTTTCTGTCATTTTAGCTTTTTAGTAAATAAAAACCCTACAAGCTATACGTGTGTTTGCTTCTCTTAACTGGCATTCCCAAATTAGTAGGCATTTTCCCACTCTTCGGGGCTTCTCTCAGGGAAAGGTAATTATACCCTGAACCAAATGAGTGTTGCTGAAGACCAGACTGGCTTCAGGGTCTGGTCAGATAAAACCAGGCTGTAAAGACCCACCAACAACTCAAAAAATTTGAAGGAAAATTCCCAATTGAATACTGGTTTATTCATAGAACTTTTTTGGGTTTTAAGGGGTTTTTTTCCATTTTTATTTGCTTGGGTTTCAGTTCTGGAGTGTTTACTAAAACTTTTTCTCTCCTCTCTCCCTTGATGTCAAAGTTCTATAAAAGGACCTGAATAACCGATGCTAATAGTATTAACAGCTAGCGTTTGTTGATTACTTGCTTTCTTCTAGGTCCGGGCCATCATCACATTTAGTGTTGAATTTACCCTTCACAGCAACCTTAAAAATAGATACGCTTCTTAGTCCCATTTTGCAAATGAGAAAACTTAAGCTCAGAGTGGTTAAGTATTAGCCCAAAATTACACAGTAAGTGGAGAAATCTGGAATCAAACTCAGGGCTGTCTTGCTCATGTCTTTAAGTAATTAATATACTGTTCCACTTTACTTCTTAAGATCAATAATTATCAGCAGAATGATTTCATGAGTTGTGACCAAAAGTCAGGCACAGCAATGGGACATGCAAATTGTAATCATATAACACTTCGAATGCTCTTGAAATAGTAATGAATATAAGAGCCCTTAAAACTCTTATATTAGATGCAAAATCCGTTATCTACCTTAGGATTCTATCTAGTTCAAAAGACTTTAGATGCAAAAACACTTGTACATTTCTTAAGCATCAAAGAAATGACAAATTTAAACCACTGATCACCTGTATAAGTATCACAAGCCTTCATGAGTGAACAACATTGAGAAAATATCAGCTTTCCCTTTTCAATTTTGAAACCCATGACATGGTGATTATAAAAAGCATTCTGCCTGGTGATGGTGAGAAGAATTCAGATGTCTATAACTGCAGGTCTCACAACTGGCCCAAATCTCTGGTTTTAAGTAACATCAATGAACTAGATGATAACTATCTACTTGATAGGATGGGCTACCTGAGTTTGCTGAGATGGATCAGTAGGTATGCATCTTTTAGTTCTTGAAGATTTAGAATTAAGAAGAAAAAGTTTCCAAAGAATTAAAATAATAATAATAATATATAATAAGCATTCTGGTTTTTATATTCATAATTTATGTTATTGTGAAACTTAAGATAATTTGGCCTAATAAAATGACAACTTGAAAACTCCAAATTAGAATGTGAAATTGAGTAATTGGTTTAGACATGTGGTTTAAGTTAGAATCTAAGTGTATGCAGCTTTCAGAACATCAAAGAGAACATTAGATTCACTGTATTTGTAACATTGACTTATTAAACTTACAGATCATTTAAGTACTTATAAAGGTTTTATGTCAAATAATTGAAAGAAACATATTAAATGTATAATGGCTATGTGAAATGATGAAGTTGTTTAATTACTGGGTTTGTAAGCAAGATCTAACATTATTCAAAGCCCTCTTAAAAGTGATGGCCAAAATTTGCTAGGTTATAAATAGAAAAATAAAAGTGATAAGCCTAAATTTAAAGTTTAAGGGAGAACTGAGGATTTGAATTTGTAATTTGAATATATTTAACACTAATTATTAAAATCAAAAGTAAACTTCTAAAGAATCTTTTCCACCTTAAAAAGAAAATAGAAAAACACCTCCAGAGCAGCAAAATATGCTGCTTGAAGACAAAGAGCCATCTGCCCAGTGAAGCTCAGAGCCCTTTCCCAGAGGAGGGCTGAGTTGAGTTTTAAGTCCTTACAATGGCGTGGACCTTCCATTTCCATTTTGGATACTTGCACTGCACTGAGAATTTGAATAAAAGGAGAGTCTTGGGTTCCTTTCAGCTCTGCAATCCTGTGGTTTTAGGAGTATCTTCCTTTGCTTCAAACTCTCCGTCTCTAGGTCCAGAACTAAAAATAATTTATATTATATTTTCAAAAGGAACATAAGACAAGGAGGTAGACTTTGGGAGTCAAATTGTCCTGGGCACTGACTCCCGGAACTGACATTAGCTCAGTGATGAGAGAAAGTTACTTAATCTTCACTTGCCTCAGTTGTCTCTCCTGCAGTACGACAATAGTCACAGTTTTTAGATTATGGGATTGTTGTAAGGATTAAATTAGGGAATGACAGTGACGTGCTTGGTATACAGATGAGCACATAAAAAGTGATCACAGCAACTCTAGGATGAAAGTTAGGGTTACTTGCTATCATTATTTTCATTTTATGGGTGAGAGATTTATAAAGCAGGTTAATTGAGAAGCATAGAATCAACATAGCTAGTAAGCTGCAGATCCCAAAATGGCATGAATAAGTCCTATGTTCTTTATATATCACGATGTTATATCCTAGAAGACTCAAGCTTCCTGAATCTATAGGAATTCAGATTATCCACTTACTAATCATATTAATTTAATTCTTGATGTTCTGACAGACATATGGAGAACATGCTTTTAGAGACATGAGTAAAGATTTTGCCTAAGTGATACACATTTAAGGCTAATCCTCCAATTCTACAGCCCTCTGCCACACAGTACAGTTGGGGTGGTATTTATACTGAGGCCTCTGGGAATTTGTTGTGTATGGATTTCTGTAGCTTTGCACCTCCTAGGGCCCCAAAGTCCCTGTAGAATTTTCTTACAACATTGGTGGAGGGATGGAGAAGGCAGGAATGTAAATTGATTCATTTTGTTACACTCTTCTCTGGGTATGCTTCTCCCTGCCCCCATGCCCCAGCACTGGGGTTGCTGTAGGGTGGCTTGCAATAAACGACATTCCCCAGAGAACTGGGAAGCTGGATCAAGAGGCTTCCTCGTTTTTGAATTCTTAGTGGGGCTTTTGTTGTTTTCTGCAGAGGTGAAAAGAAGCAGAAAATCCAGAACAGTGTGCCAAATCCTGTTTGGAAGCAGAAGGGGCCTAATAAATAAATATGTAAAATCAAAATGCTACATACGGAGCTCTCCAAATTCACTGACTAAACAAATTAACCTTGGAAGGTCAGAAGTTTATTTCCTATATCAAAAAAGGAGCAGAAAAGAGAGAAAAGACTTATCCAAAGAAACCAAATCAACATTCAGACTTGGAGCTGAACCCAGCAAGCCTTGCAACCAGAGCCAGTTCCACAGGACAAGTTCACCCAGTGGCCAGAGTGCTGTGAGATGGGCAAGACCTCTCTCCAGGGAGGGTTACTCTTTGTAAACACATACATGTCTCTGTGCTTCTTTGGCATTTTCCTTAGCTCACTCAGAACAAATTCGTGCCTGCCTCTTTAGGAACTCCAAAGGTAATGTACCTGGATAGGAAGTTCTCCAGGGACTGCTTCTTGTCCTCCTTGCAAACAATGCCCTCCTTCTTCTGCTTTTCCATGTCTTTGATTCGGGACTGGAAAGTATCGATCAGATCGAACACAGACTTCATTGCTATAGGCACCTCATAGTATTGCTGTTTAAGAAAGAAGAGAATGTGCATAATGTATAACTGTATTTCCTCCCTCTCTTCAGAAGATTGAGAATCTGAGAAAATCCAGGGGATCTCTGGAGAAATCTTTGAAGTCAGAGCCGGGGCGGGGGGTGGGGGGGTGCTCATTGATTTATAAATGCTCTCTGGCAATATTACCCTCTGCAGATATTTTAAGGTTCAGAATCCATAAAACAATTGCCATTTTTACAAGCAATTCTTCTTAATTGCACTCCTTTTATTGGAAATGGTCCATGCCTTCCTCACCATTCAAGCCATAGGTTCATTTCCCTACCCTTGGGACTGAGCTGTTTCTTGTTCACTACACACCTGGAGAAGAAGTAAGAAACACTGTACCTAACACAGGAAACAAATGGAATGACATGTTACAGTATGTGACCTCAGCAATAAGGCCTGTTCCACCAAGGCCTATTCTGTGGTCCCAGGGATTGTTTTGACAAGTAAGCATCCTTTAAAATTAACTCACATTTGCTTATGTATTCTCAGAAACAAGTTGGGATCCAACTTAAAGACAAATGAAACTCCTGAATCATAGCTATCTGGACTTAAGAAAGCAGCCTGAGATGGATGTGGTTGCTGGCTGAGCATAACCACCCTAACCTAAAGAGTAGCCTGGAGCTCTGCCCACAATGGGAATTCAGGGAGCTGACAAGGAGCTTGGACATTACCCAGCACCACCTCTCCTGTTAAAGATGGGCTGACTTAACGAAGCAATCTCTGTCCAGATCCATCCTGTGTGGGAAGGAAGTCCAACACTTCATGGGTGAACTTGGGCTACTTACTTAACCATTCTGGGCCTCTATTTTTTCCTCTGTGAAACAAAAATAATACTAGGATTTATCTTAGGAGTTTGAGATAAGGATTGCAAAGGGTTGAGCAGAGTGCCTGACATAAGGAAGGCACTTAATAAAGTCACTAATTGTGTTATTATTAATATATGACTACATGGCACAGTTTTTCATGGTTCAGAACCTTTGTGCCTAAGTACAGGAAGAAAGTAGGTATAAAACCCTACAGTCTCTCCCATATTTGATCAGGAGGTAAACTTCCTGACCCTTCCAAAATAGGCCTATGTTAAGTGTGGGGTTTTTTCTGAAGGCAGAGACTGCTCTTTACCTTTTATCCTTAGGAACTGGCACATCATAGCTATTTAACGTGTGTCTTATGAATGCACAACATTGATGTTAGACAAAAATTTAGTCAAAGTCAAGTAGCTATTCCATGGGAGGGTGCTCCAATGCAGTATTTTCCAGAGACCACATTTCTGGGTGCAAATTCATAGGACAACATGGAATATTCGGGCTATTTCAAAACCTTCCCATTTATTAAATAACTTATGCTTACTCATACTTCTAATGGACTCATTGGCCAAAAAAAAAATCTGATTTGCTATTCAAAGGAGTGACATTACATCATCCCAAACAAGAACTTGTACCTTGACTCTCAGATCCACATCTGTCAGCACCATGAAGAAGTCATTGTAGGTCATTCCATACTCTTTCCTCAGCTCACTGATGAGATGCTGGTCTACCAAGTCTTCATCATCCACCACTCGCATGGGTTTCTCGTTATCTTGAGACAAAGAAAATGTGAATAAATATGGGTGTGGCAAGACAGCTATCATTGGGAAGTAAATAAGTGGAAGCTCTGGGCCTCCATCTTCATCTAATCACACCAGCCTTCATTAGTTTGGTATGTTCGACTCACGTCAGATTTGAACAAAAGTTCAGAGTAAATTAATAAATATAGAAACAAACCAATGAATAAATGAGTTTTGAAAGCCAATTTTCTGAGCAAGACCTTGCCTCTGCTCACACTGTCCATGGTAAATCAGAAGGAGCAAAGTGAGATTGGAAGCTGCTATGTCATCCCTGGAAGAAGACTGACTGCCAACTCACCCAGAGAATGAGTCTCCACCCTAACTCACCAGGGAACCAGGCCCAGACACTTTTGTTGTTTTATTTCCATTAAACATAATTTTGGGTCTGAGCTCTGTGTCTGTTCTTCCTTTTAGTATAGAATTAACTTTGGAACTCAGTAAACATGTCATATCTATAGAGAAAAATAGAAAGTCTATGTTCAAGACTAGTCACAGGCTCATTTGAGGTCTAAAAGAAGTCCAACTATTCATAATACAAATTTCATAAGTGAATGTAATTTCAAGCAAATGTGACAATTTATGAAAATTTTTAATCATTATGTATTTTTTAAATCATCGAACCCTCAAAATAAATCCTTATCATTCAGAATGATTCCCGAAGGTATCACTGAGTTAATGGGAAGCATGAAAATCAGGATAACTATGGCTTTATATGGCAACTCATAAGCCTAAAAAGCATTTTGTTTCCAAGGACAAGACAGCTTTATTTACTTCTTCCCTCCCAAACAGGTCACACTAACCTGCTGGAGCTTCAGTCAAACCAAGTTACCCTGTTAGCATCCAAGGCAAGGCTATCCCAGATCAGCTGACAACCTGTTGACCCCCAACATGAGTGTAAGCCCAGCCAAGATCAGCAGAGCCTCCTACCCAACCTGCAGCTCACTACAGATGCATAAGCAAATCTAACCAGGCCCAGCCCAGATCAGCTGAACCCTGCAGACTTGTCACTAAATGAATGTTTATTGTTACATGCCACAGAAATTTGTGGATTTTTGCTACATAGCCTTATTGTGCCAATAGATAACTGATACAGATATTATCTGGCCCAACCCAACCAATTATTGAGGATGAAACTAAGGAACTGTAGTGGATGCTGTGGTGTGCTGTCCCAATCCTAGCTTTAGAACTAAAGTTTCTGTGAATATTAACAACTGGATCTCTGTCTGAGAACTGCTTTCCTTAGAGGAGAGCTGCCTTTCCCCAAGTCACACCCCTACCAGGGGACAGCTCACATTTAATGGTTGATGCAGTGAGGAAGGAGATAGATATAAAAGCTGTCCCCTTTGTCTCAAAGTGGACAACCATAAGGGACTAACTGCATTGCAGCTCAAATTCTTCCTTCATCCAATCTTGCATCCCTCACCCCTCATCTGTATTGTTTCTGAGCATACACCCCATTAACTTCCTGCATGCAAAACTCAGAGTTTTAGAGTCTATTTCTCAGAGAACCCAGTCTGCCATGGACCCTGAGAAGAGGAATGCCTTGTGCAAGTTCACATTGCCAGTTAATAATGGAGTGGTAGAGGGTTAGGAATCAGGTAACTCCCACCCAGTACTCTCTCTACTATACTGAAATGCCTGCCCCTCAAGGGTAGAGAGAACCCAGGACCAAGATTTAAGGAAAACTTTGTTCTACTAGTATATGGCAAGAAACCAATTTCATAGTCTAGGTTCTCCTTTCAGTTAAAACGTTTTCTAAAATATTTCAACAAAACATTAGAAATGAAACATTTTGCACTCCCAAACTATGAGAATATCTTCATGTTTGTGCTAAGTAGGAGAATCTGCAAAAAAAAAAAAAAAAAATGACGTTCCCTAATTGACACTGGATCCAACTGGGGGGAGGGGCAACTCTGCAGCGGGACAGACTCCACTCCAGGCCAAATTCCAAGGAAGGTACCTGTCAGGCCAGCTCTTGTCTCCTGCTCCTGCCACAGATCTCTGTTGCATTCTGCATTTTGCCTAAAGCAGGGCTAAGTGAACAAGAAGTTCTCTTCAGTCTGGAAAAGCAACAGAGTTGGCAGTTTTTTGTTAAATATATCCAAGTGCTGTCTAAGCTCTTGAGTGCTTGTCAAGGGTTGCAAGGCTTAGAGGCAAAAATTCTTTAGGAAACACTCTCTAAACTGTCCACATGGTACTCATCCAACTAAAGTGCTTCACAGATCCAAGCCCAGTTGGTGAGATTTGGACTTTAAATTACTGAGGAGAAGGATAACCAGGGAGGGCCAACTCTGTTGCTTGCTGGTAAGAACTGGCCCTAGAAGTAGGACATTTGCCCAAGTCCTCATCATTAAAAGACCCCAACCCCAAATATCAGTGGTCAGTTCAGATGGTGGTAAATCTCTTCATGTATTTGCCCATCTGTGACTGACTATAGACAGCAATGGCACTCCAGAAAACTCAGCTTCAATGATTACATGCTAAACACCAACTGTGTGCCAGGAATTATGTTTAAAGCTTCCATCTGTAACTGCTTCTTCTCTGTGACATCCATAGATTCTCTTCCTCCAACCCCTTCTTCCCTAAGTTGAGGCCATTCCACCAATGTCTGGACTACTTTAGCCTCTCTCATTGCGTCAGGAGTTCCCACTTTCCTCTAGGAGTTTTTCAAAGTATGACCCACTGTCTACCTTCATCACAATCACCTGAATCACTTGTTAAAATTATACTCCTTGAATCCAGACCACTTGAATCAGAATCACAGGTAGTGAAGCCCAAAGATCTGCATTTTAACAAGTTTTCTGGATGATTGCTATGCACTCTAAAGACAGAGAGATACGGTCCCACAATATAAAATCCACATCTTTATCATAGCATAAAAGGCCATTTATGACATGGACTTAGCCTATCTTAATTCACTTATCTATTAACTCTTCTTCCGTACGTTATGCTCCAGTCCTTTCTTTTAGTTTCTAGAAACATGCCCTCTCTTCCTGGAATGCTACCCAGGCCGTTGTCCACAAGGGTACTCTTAATTACCTGTGCAACCTGTCTTTGCCTCTCTTGTGCACTGATAACATTCTTTGCATTCTTTTGAAATAACACTTATCATCTTGCATTGCAACCAATTACATGTCCATCTTCCCCCTGACTATGAACAACTCAACAACAGGGACTGAGTCTTGGTCATCTTTTATATCCTTCGAAGTCTGGTACAGTTCCTGGCACACAACAGGCACTCAGTAAAGATTTCATAATCCATAATCATCAAAACTCTCCCCTAGGAAGGATATCATATGAAAAAGGAGGGTAGTGAGGGACAGAGTAAATAAGGTGAGTGATTCTGGAACTGTGTAGAAAACCTACTATCAAATCTTCCCACTTTCCTTGGAGCTTGTGAGCCACAAACAGCCAGTCTAATGTAATTTGGAAAAACACATTCATATATATTTTCTAAATTTGGGTTTGCATGAAACATATTTGTAAGGTATTTAAAATATAACTATTCTTTTTAAGAAGTCAGTACAAGCCAAAAGTCTCTTAGCTGGGCTTTAAATAAATTTGGAGGCAGACTCTAGCAAAAGCTGAATTGCTTTTATTTCAAGAATATTCTCAGGACTGCTGAGCAGTCTATGGTAGATTATTTCAGTTAGGATAACTGTGGCCTCCAGCTCAGTACTTAATTCCTTTTAATTAGAAATAGACAAACTTAAAGGATGTTGCAGTTGATCTGCTTATTCCTCTTTTACTCTATGAGTAAGTCATTTTCCCACTTACCAACCCACTGTGGGATGAGCAACTAGATTGAATTAATAGGTGGGACTAACCTGGTCATTTCTGATCACAAAGCTGCTACTCTCTCTTGCTCTCTAGAAAAAGCACCTGGTCCCATTAGTGAAGAATGTGTCCTGCCCAGATGATATTCTGCCCTACAGACTAACTCCACCAGACCTTAAAAGCTATTTAAAATTTATTTGAAAAATATATTCAGAAATCTTTAGTGTCTTTACATGGTTTACCAAATAAAGTTTGAATTTTTTGTCCTAGTATTTGAAATCTAAAATCAGGCACCAAACTACATATGGAACAGTGTGTGTGTGTGTATATATATATATATATATATAGTTATATATATGTAATATGTTACATTTTGTATAAAAACAGAGGAAAATAGGTACTTACATTTATTTGTATTTGCATAAAGAAGTACCTAATGTATAAATAAGGAATTATAAAAACGATTACCCATGGGAGCAAGGAGTATCAGGGTGAAGGGGTCAGGAGGAGTCCAAGACTTCTCCGTGTGTACTTTTATGTATAGCCTTGACTTTATCATTTTTTTGAAAAATTAACTAAAAAACAAAAAAACCTTGATAGAAAAGAACCTATCAAAAAAGGTACTCATTTTTCAAGGCCCCCCCCTTCCATTAAATAAGCCCACTTTTCAAAATTCTCTGATATTTACAATACTTTCTCTGATGACTACAATTTGGAAGAGCTAATCCTTCCACAATATTCTTCAAACACTTGTTTTGTACATTTGACGTGGTAGGCATTTTTCACCTTCGGATCATCAGAGACTGATCTTGACACTGATACGCTTGATGTTGGAGGCGGCATGGGCAGTGGACTAGGAGGACTGAGCAAGCTAGGAGACGGGCTCCCTAACCCCCCTAACCCTTAAGGCACACGTGATTGATAAGTAAAGCCTGAATAAGCGGAAGGGGACACCTGGCCAGAGTATGGAAATCGGAGCACTCATTTAGCCTCTCCTCCCAGGTCAGGGTGACAGGGTCTAGGGAAGACAGCTGCCAGGCACTGTCACCACTGATGAAAAAAGGAGTTGGGGGCAAAGGGTCGATTTTCCAGAACTGCCCCTGAGGAAAAGCAGCATTTGGGGATTTTTATGGATCCTGATAATTGTGAGGTTTCTCCATAAAGAATGATTCTCTTCAATAGGATCAAAGACAGAGTATTTTAGGCTGCTATGTATTGTACTATTCCCATTTATAGATGTTATTTTTAAAATTCACCTATGAAATCCTTACTCAGCTAAGGGGATTGAAACTTTCTCCTTATTGCTATAGTCCACCTCCGTCAACTTTTTCACCTCTCCTTTTATTTACTGCTCTCAAACTCTCCTTCCTTCAAAAGAAGTTATCAAAGAACTTCCTTTGCCCCAAAAAATGTCCTGCATGTTCTGGCCCTTAAAGCTTGGTGATAAAATACTAGTGTCAAAATATTTTTCACATCTATATTCTCCTAAGAAACATGTTTGCTGCATGTTTCCCCCCTCTGTTCATTCTGCAATAAAGTGCCATTAGTCAGCAACTTTATCTATAATTCATCCACTTAACACCCCCCCCCAATATTTCTATCCTCGATTGACATTTTAAATACCATTAACAATGAGGAATGCCTTTACATGTTCTCTATTTTAAACCTCATGTATAATATACTCTGTGCTGGCAAAACCAGAAGGACATTGGAATTTGCTCAAGCATAAATAACATTCTTCAGACAAAAGCCTGAAATTTTAAGGTAAGTTTCTTGGTGTTTGTAGGTCCATCATTGATGTCCAAATACATTCAGCAAGATGGACCAGCTGGTGAGTACAGCCCACAATGTAGTTGGATGTGGGCCTCTATTTTCAAGGCCCAGTAAAAGTCTGGAATAGTAAGGAGTGCTTGATTTATTTTTAAGGAAAAGTAAGGCCATTCTGATAGATTTCCAGCTGAAAATCGGTCAAGGCTGGGGTTTGGTTCACTGAGACCATGGCTCATGCCAATTCTTATTTTCCCATGGCTGACTCTCAGTCTTGGCTGAAAGTGCTACAGCCTTTCCCATAAGGGTAACCTGGGACAAGACACAAGGAGGAAAAGGCCTTCCAGGAATTAGATGAAAAACAAAATAAAAGCCCCCTCCCCCCTTTAAGTCCAGGCTATGTTCAGTGAGGCAAATACTCAAGTCATAATACCTGATTTCCAATGAGGCAGAAAAGAAAACCTCAGCCCCTCTACAGTTCATATTCAATCCAGATGTCTAGAAAACAGCAGGACTGCTAAAAATTTGCCACTGCGGTACCAGATGGTCATAATAAGAGCATATACAGGTTGAGGTGGGAGATATAATTATTTTTCCAAACTCTGAAAAAAGGAATGAGAATACTTTGTGGAAGAGTTGGTGGGTAACACATTTGACACCAGTAACACCTGGCTGAGAAGGTCTTTCATCACCAGCCAGCACCAGTCTCTATACTGGATTGAATACCTACTTCCTCTGTAGACATCTGGAGTATAATTAAGCTCTCTGGCCTCATGTTCCTATTTGAAAATCCAGGAAAGAAATGGCTGAATCCCAGTTAGCCAATAAATATGTGGCATTGTAGTAGTAGTCTCTTGGGCTTCGGTTTTATCACCAGGAGTAGGGATGCAGCCTGACTGGGAAGAGCAGTTGTGAAAGTTTCCATGTCAACATTTCATAATTAGCTGAAAGCAATATTAAGTATTTTGCAGTTATAGGTTCCCTAGTAACAACTATGACAGCTCATTGATCTCCAGATGACTGCCAGATCCCCTAGTGGTGATGAAAGTGACCACAATTATGGTGCCTATTACCCAACAGGTATTTATATACATTACCTTATTTGTATACATTACCTATTTGGATTTTCAAATAGGAACATGAGGCCAGAGAGCTTAATTATACTCCAGATGTCTAGAGAGGAAGTAGGTATTCAATCGAGTACAGCTGGCTGGTGATGAAAGACCTTCTCAGCCAGGTGTTCCTGGTGTCAAATGTATTACTCAATTATACATATACATTTGTATACCTCACCCTAGCCTGTGAAATAGCTATAATTATCTTCTAAGCTAAGACTTAGGGGATAACTTGCCTAAGCTCACATAATAAATTTTGACTCTGGAGTTAAATCTGTTTGCCTTCAGAATTTCCTGTTTTGTCTTTTGTTTATGTGATTATTATTGATTTTGTAGTTTTAGAAAAGGACATTTCTTTTTCATTGCTGTTGGTCTCCACCCAGACAGGAAAAATGTACATGAACCAATCGCTGATGCACAATAATTTATCATGGGACACTGGAAAAGTTGCTATTTATTTTTCCTTTGTAGCCTTCATAGGGGAAGGTGAGCTAATTAAAGTAGAGAATGCATAACTGAAATTTTACCCCAAATATATTCTAGGGATCCGCTGTACAACATTGTTAGCATGTACAGTTAACAATACTATATTGTGCACCTAATTTATTAAGAGGGAGGACTTCATGTCAAATGTGTTTATACCAAGGGAAAAAATACGATTTAGAAATCTAGACCACATTCAGATCAAGTTGACATTAACATGACATAATTATGACTGGTATGTGTTCAATTACATGAACATCACATGCCAGAAAAATCTGTGAGATTATGTGTTGTACATATTGAAGTCAAATGTTAACTAATAAGGAAAATACATTTTATATTCTTTCAGATACTTTCAGATTAAATATATTTTATGAAGAAAACTCTGCATCATATGCAAATAATGTGGAATAGAAGGATTGCTCTAAAGGATTTTCATTATCATTAAAACAAGAACAACAGTAAAACAGTAGAAAATGCATATAAGAAAAAAGTGTTGTTTTTTTAAAAAATAAAATAAAATAAAGCCCAAGAGATGTAATAATTATAAAAGAAATGGGTGGGTCAGATTTGGGGCTTCTGACTATGAGGCTTAACTAATTACAGTGAGTCTTGCCACGTTCCCAGGAGAACTGCAATGAGTTAGAGCTCAGCTGCCCAGCCCTCAGCTGTACGCCTCCTGAGTCTCACATACATCATTAATATGTAAAATTGTGAAAACTCTAACTTCAGCCAAATTCTTCTGCTCTCCAAAAGGACTTGGGTGCAGTTCAGTCCATATTTTCAGTGACTTTAGTGTAACAGCTTCTCTCAGCTCTGGTTGATTCCCTCCTCGGGCTTGCCAGAGTCAAGCACTTCCAGGAGCCTGGCAGGCCTCTCTGTGATGAGTCACCTGCAGCATGGAGTCTGCAGGAAGATCAGATGGTATTGCTCACAGGCAGGGACTTTCTCCTGGACTCCAGCTCCAAGAGAAAGTGTCTGAATACCTCTCCCTCTCTCCCCTACCCTGTATTACTTTTCTCATTTTCCTCCAACTTACTGACTTTCAGGCAATAGAGTGCTTGTGTATTTTTTCATTTTAAAGTGCAGAAAATAAACCAGAGCCATCTTGGAATGGCTACCTACATAAATACGTAGGCAGACTGACCTGTGTCACCACCACGCAGAACCCTCCGGACATTTGCATTTTCCTTGGCATTCCCTCGCCCCACCACTCCCATAAAATCGTCCCACCTTAAATATGAAAAATAAAACAATGATATAATTAAAATATTTAAGAGCACCTAGCTGAAAATGGTCAATTTTCATGGTGCTGTTGTTGACAGGGCCGAAGATAGTGATCACAGATATTTTCCTGGTGGCCATCTTGCAGAAACTTTCCAGATATTCATCACGTTGTTGCACGTACATGTTGTTCTCAGCCTTGGGAGCCGTGATCAGCTGGAAGTGGGTAAAGGCAAATATTAATTTACAGTTATAGTCTCAGATGGAGGCAAAAACCAAAGAGATGATTTGGAATAATGGACTGGTAGTGACTAACACCTAAACTACACACTATATTCTGTTGAACAGTGAGCATAATTAGCACCAAAAAGGGCTATTTGGAAAGGCCTTTTTTTTTTCTTTTAATGGCTCCAGGAAGCTTAGAGTTTTCTACTCACTTTCATTGTTTACCTTCATGACTAGTCTCCCTGTGTCTCTGTTTTTCTCATTTATGAGTTCTGCACAGGAATACTTATTTTGCCAGGCTGCTGTGAACAGTATGTGAATACTTGGTATGCAATAATTGTTCAATAAACATTATCTCTCTTCCCTAATTTTGATCTTCATTATCCCAATTGACTGATCAGACACTGGTTAATTCAGTGGTTACTACTATTATTCACATTCCACAGGGATGAGAGTTTCACAGCCAGGCCCTGGGTGCTATGAAACATTCTATGATTTAGAATTTTTATTAGGCAACCTTGTACAGAGTTTTTTTATGATAGCTTTCCAGCCTATGTTTTGTCACGTAGAAAATATTCACCGTCATATTAGGCCCGCACAGAGCCAGTGGTGGATGTCTGTTGATATTGCATCCTCCAACATGATGGTTTTTACTTTCAGTTTAGCCTTCCTCCAGTTCAGACCTGGTATTTTTCACCTAGCTCCCTGACTTTCATCCTCACATTGTGACCCCTGACCTCTTCTGGGGAAAGACAGAGCAATCGAAAGAAATATTTTACTCACCAACCGTCTGAGATAACATATTTTGGGTAAAATGAGAATATCCCTATTGTTTAGAGGTCCTCTTGAACCCTCCCTCTAAGAATGTCTCAATGTTTTTAATCTAACCTCCTTTACTTAATGTAATCTCTACTGTTTCTATTGTTTTATTTGCCCTTTTCTGAGAGTTCTGCAATTGCACCAGAGGTTTTCCTGAGCTGACGCAGAGCTGTGTACCATATTTCATGAGTGGGTGGGTGTAGTCCTGCTCACCCTGGAGGTGGGAGAATGTGAAATTTTATTCTGATGATGACTAGGTCTCTGTTGACATCTTTAATCCTAAATAGCTCACCAGGCTAATGTCTACAGTGAACACTGCCTGTTTGCCCTTTGTTGACTCATCATTAGGCTCAGAGGCAAGCCTCTATAAGCTATTTTTCTATAAACAATATCTTGCATATGACCACATTAAAATTGATCAGTCACTTTTCTATTTATCCACCTAAACGTATAAACTATTTCCGAAGTTTGTGGCTATTAGCTTGGCATTTTTCAGAGAAGTCACCATGTTGTTAGCCTCTTCCAACTATTTTATGAAAAATGGTTAATAAATGTGGTATCAGCTACTTATTTTTCTCTATCATAGATGTGTTTATTGCTGCCTGCGGGCTTTCTCTTCTATGAATTCTCTATGCATGACAAAATACTCTCCCTCGATGATATTAAATGTGTTCAATAGCATTTGAGCAAAACATTAACAAAGATTTTCTGGGATAAAGTTTTTGTTTTTATTTTTTCAGATTATTATTTATTTTAAATAGATGTGCTCTAGTTTATTTTTGATTTCGTGTTTATGTGCCAAATGGACACAGTGGGTAGGATATGTTTGTTTTAGAAATATAATTTAACAGGAAAAATAATAAAATTTCCCCAAATTTATTCATTGATTCACTTAGCCTTAAAAAAAGATGTAAGGTGACTATAAAAAGCTATGGTGATGATATTTTTGGTTTATTTATTTATTCTTAATTAGCTTTATAGCATCTGAAAACATTTCTTCAGGTTTTGATGGTTGCTGAGACCTCAGAGTTTTATTTTAAGTTGGTATATTTTAGGTCTGTCTTTCTGACTATTCTTTGCTCATAACACACTATTTTGAAATAAAATGAATGTTTAAGTGAATACACAAAACAGTAATAAACAAAGGTAAGAGAGATTTACTGTTAATGATTTTGGACTCCCTTTCTAAATTAAGGATAAGCCCATATTTAGAATATATTTAGAGGATATATTCTACATATATTCTACAAACAGCTATTAAATTCATATACAGACTCCATTTTATTCACCTCATACTTTGCCATGGACCTTTACAATCCATGGACAGACCATAATATGATAGGATTTTAATAGTTCTCAAAACCCTCTCTAGTCTTCTTTTCCCTCTTGCTTATAATTAAGAATTTTAGATAATATATAATCATACAGAACCTTATCCTCTCTGAGTGGTAGGTTCTCCCATAACTCTACATATGGTAACATGAGGCCATGGATGGCCAGTGTGAATCTCACTTACATAAATATAAACCTCTGACATTTATTTTCACCTGAGGGCCTTTGCCCAGGGATGATTTTACCCACCAGTAAGGTGATATTCATTTTACATGGCTCATTTCCTAGCTTCTGGCCTCCTTGGTTTGGCCCCAGGCACTCTCTTAAGGTCCTCCTATTCCCTCCTCGACACCCCCCATAGCCAGACCCATCTAAATTAGGAAAGGAAAGGAATCAGATGAGTGGCTCAGAGATGGGGTAATCAGAGTCAAAGTTGGGAGCTGGCATTGTAGTCCTAGTTCAACCCCAGGCTAGTTGTGGTTTTAACAAGGCCATTTAATCTTATGAACCTCAGCTTTGTCATCATTACAATGGAACAACCATGCCAATCTCATAAAGTTGTGAGAACTAAGAAAAAAGCAATATATCTGTCCAGGCTGTGTCCCCCAAGCACATACAGGTTTGATACCTTGAACAGTTCACCCACATTCCTTCCTCTCTCTTTGCCCATGTCACTCCTCCCACCTGGGGTACCCCCCTCACTCTGAATATGCGTCTTTCTTACAATGAATCATCCTCCTTAAAGTCCTTTCTAGCTGGCAGTGATCACCTTCTCTTTTGAATTACTGTTCTTATTATCTGTACTGCTCACTTTGAATTCAAGTTTTTTCTTTATTTACTATTATAAATGCCACATACCCCCAAGCAGAGTGTAAGTGCCTCAAGGCACTGAAGCCCCAGCCTCTATTACTGTCCTGCAGATGGCAGGAGCACAAATGCTGGCCCCAGGTTCCTGGAGTTACACAGATGGCTCCAGCCAGAGGCAGGGGACGGACTCAGCAACAAAGGGGGCCTCCTGGTAGTGAATGTCTAGATGCAGCACACAAATCAGTGGGTCAAGACACTCTCTGGTACAGTTCATCTGCTCCTCGAGATGGCAGAAGAGAAAATAGAGGTGGTTGACCATCTGAACACATTTCAGGGACTCTTTCCCTATGTTTTGACATCTCCATCCCATTCACTTTCTAGTTTGGCAATATTTCAAACAGTGCTCAAAATGGAAACCACTTCCAGACCCCTCTTCATAAAAACAGCATTCTAGAACTCCTCAGTAAACATTATTGTCTGTCACTTGGCCTCTTTCCAGTTTGGTGGCAATAAATCAGAGCATGTTTTGTGAATTTGAAATCATGTTGTGGTTCTTTTTCATGTTTCTGTTCCAACTGGTGTGTTGGCTCAATGAGCCTCAGAGGATAAGGAAGCCTGTTTTACAAGGAAAGGGAGCACAGAAGAATGAGAAGAGGCAGGGGAGATACTTTAAGTCTCAGATTATTCTAAATACTGTGTTAGGCTCAAGAGATTAGATTTTTACAGGATTCTAAAAAATAAGTTCCAAGTTAGTAGTCTGCTTTAGTAAAGCAGAGCTTTAAATTCTTTTCTAAAATTAAACCAAATAAGTAGATTTTTGTCCCAATATCCAGATTTCTAAAATAAGGTTGAAAATATTAACCCACTTGAATTATAGGAGATTCAGTTGCCAAAGAATGCTTAAACTTGCCACTTGAATTTATGCAATTCAGCACTTGAGTCCCCTTCTTAACTGACAAGTGAGTAGATCTCAGAACACAAAATGATGGCTGTTGGCTATATTCCCCATAGTTGAATGTTTCAATAGTAAACAGCTTACCTATACTCACTATAGTCAGCCCCAAACTGACACCAAGCAGTCTGAAGGATTAGGTTAACTGGGATTCAATATATTGTTCTTGACTGACTGCCTGGAAAGCCAGAGAACTGAGGTACAGAGAACTAGCTGGGTGTTGAAGGCAAAAATTTCACATTTGCGCTTAGCACAAAATGTTGACAGTTGCTAACCCTTAATATTTATTCGGATAACTCAAGGTTGAACATGATTTTAAACTTTTCATATTTATTAACTAACAATATACTTCCTCAGTTTCCCCTTGATTTCACGGCATATCTCATGGGAAGCTCATACTCACAGGAAGACAGAATGGGGGAGTGGCCCTTACTCCAGCTTTCAGGTAAAACAGACCTGAGTTCTAATTCTGACTTCACCACATATTAGCTATACATCTTGGGTAACTTCTCCACCTCTCTAAGCTTCTGTTTTCTCATCTGTAAAGTGGGGTTAATCATTCCTCAAAGGGTTGTTGCAAGAATCAAACCACAGAGTCCCAGCAAGGAACTTTGCAAGAGGTGCCTTTCTCTGTTGACAGGCTGAAGGGGGTGAACTTGAAGGATTGAACTCTGGCCCAAGAATAGGACACCTGGCTCCACCTGCAGCTCCTGTGAGGGCCTCTGGGATGCCATATACTCAACCGCAACCCATACCATTGTTGCCAGCGTTTCTCTAAGTAATTGGTTAACTAGCAGCTATGTGATGTGTTCATTTCTAAAGAATGGTATAAATAAATGTAAAGCACTAGTGGTTTACAATAAATTGTAGTTAGGTACCAAGTTACTGAAAAGCTGGAAAGATGAGCTGAAAGGCTTGCATAATTTCTTGGAATGCAAACCTGCTTTCAGTTTGAGCATCCTGGGTTAAGTTGAGGGCAGTTGTAGTTAAATGTTCTCAGCCATACTTGAACAGCTTGAGAGTGCTAAGCCCTAATGAATATTAATTGAATCACCGAGCTTCCTGAAAAACATCAGCTGAGTTTGATCGGAAAAAGTGAGTGGAAAAAGGATAAATGGTACCAACAATGTTTTTCACTCACTGGTCTCCTCTCTGTTTGATGAAAAACCCTTTTCTCTTTATCTTCTGCTTTTGTATCGCATTCATTTCATCAGATCTTCCCTAATCCATTCTTACATTACACATCATTAGCTCTTCAGAAAACACATTTCTGATATGCTCATCCACTGGGCACATGTAGGATGGAAAAACTGAAATGCTTCCTGTTGGTATTTTCTTTCTAATAACAAACCTGGTTCTCTCACTAGCCCAAGAGCAATCCCGCCAAGAGCAATTCCAGCTGGATTCTGTTTTGCCTCACATGACATCAGCAGAAGCTGTCCTTTGAGTTTCATTTGCTAGAAATTTATGACCAGGGATACTGTTAAAAGCTGAAAAGACCCAGCTGGGCTTTCAGATCCCTGACTAAGGGAGTGAAGGAGGGAGAAATGAAAAGCATGACTAATAGCAGTGGTACAGTATGAAAACTCCTTTCTTTTGACTCAAAAACTAGGAGCAATGCAAGTATTTGCCAGATGCGTGCACAATTACAATCCTAACATTTTACCTGTGATTATTTTTTCTTTGGTTAAAACCTGACCTGAGGAACACTTTGCCTGCCCTGTCAGCTAAATGGACAGAGTTGGGCGACGTGCTTTAGTGGGCCGGACAAAGTCCCAGATACTCAGGAGGAGAGCAATGAGGCAAACCACTAATGCTTTTCCCTGCCCCAAAGGAGCAGTTTGCCCCAATGGCCCTCTAACAGACTTTCAAGTACCAGGTAGAGTTCTACTCTGAAATCAGTGATATTTTTGGTTCTAACTAGAACATTCCCATTTAAGTTTATGCACTCCGGGAATATCCAAGCAGCTGTTAAACTACTTTAACAGATAGCCTATCATCTGATAACCTACGTTTACATAGTCACTTTAACCTTCTGATTAGAAATTGCAGCGACATACAAAAAATACATAATAACACTCTCTCTCTCTCTCTCTCTCTCTCTCTCTCTCTCTCTCAGAATTAACTAGAGCTAGGTTTTATTCTAATACATGGATCCACTATTGATGGATCTGAACAGCTAAAAGAATTTGAGACATGCTTCACCCATGGTTAAGTATCACAAAAAACTTTGCTCTGAGTAATATTTCAAATGCACATTTAAACTTTTTGAAACCACTAAAGATAAATGGGCAACAGCGTCTCTCTGCACAGATCATCAATTCAAATTTAGACCAGATTAGAAAAACCAAAAGATCCTCCGAGCAATGCCTTGAGAGAAGAGTGCCTATTTCTTTTGGTGGGAGACTTCAGGGCATGGAGTCACCTTGCGCCTTCAGTAGGATGGGGGCTAGCCTCAATGGCATGAGTTGGCTTGCTTAGCCAAGTAACTGGGAAAAACATTCCTGATTCTCATAACCCAACATTAATTTACTGCTCTTTTACTTTAATTGTAACACACCCTTTACTTCCCTGACAGCCTGGAGTAGAATGATAGCTTAAGGAAGCCAGGGGTAGAAATCTTGGAGGGGTACTATTAAAGAGAGGGATAGGAGACATGACAAGGAGAAGGAGCCATTCCCATGTCACTGATAAAACTGCCCTTACACTTAGGGTGAGCTTATTCCTGCCCAAAGCCCTCATTCAGTTGACCTAGAATCTATTATCACTCTTTAGATGATGCAAAAAAATGGCCAAAAGAGAGGGTTACCAAGATGAATCTGTCACTTGTTGAACACTAGCTGCACTCAGAACCACAAGCAAAGGGGAAGTAGGGGCTGCTTGTCTCCTTTTTCACACACAGATGTGCATGCACACGCACACACTCATTTTATAGAGCTGCAGGAGAAACTGACGTTTGGACTCCAAATTCAGTTGTATGGCTAGGGTGTTGGAAATCAAAACAATTATCTCAGTCTGCCATGCTCCATCCCTTTGGCTCTTACTGATGCTTGGGCAGTGATGGAAGAGGCAAAGTTTAAGGGGAGAAGATTTCTGTCAAAGGAGTTTTAAAAGGATTCTTGAGGGTAACACCAATGAGACCTTTCCCTCTCATGCCCTCAGTCATGCCCTCTCCCCCTCCCAGGCTGTCTTACTTTCCCCTTCGAGGCCTCCAATGTTGATACAGACCTAATTAGAGAGAGGGAAGCTATGCCATGGTCCCAGACACATGTTTCTACTTCCTAAGTTCACACAGAGAAAAACCCATTCCCTAAGTTGTAACTACAGTCCATGCATTCCGTTTTAGGAAGTCTTCCATTCTTTTTTTTTTTTACCCTTTGGACTTGGTAAAACAGAGCTGTGGCCAGAAATATCCCTTGGAAGAGAGCAGGAGAGATGGGGGAGGGATCCTGACAGTCCTGGAAGAAGCTGACCACAGGGCTGGGCTTGGGCCTAGGGCCCCCAGCCATCAACTCGGTCCCTGTCCTGGCAGGGCCATGAGTGGGGCGCAAAGCACTTCACAGAGCATCTAAACCGAAAAGAGCCACTGGCCCACTGCCCTTTCTCGCCAGCCTTCCTGATCTTCATGACCTGGTGCAGGTTCAGCCACAGTCTGGCATCTAGCAGCGTGGTTTTACACAAACAACAAGACAGACATTAACACACCCTGCCTCAGCCCACACGACAACGCCAAGGAGGAGTTTACTTACAAGGAGCCTCCGCTTGCCTTCAAAGGACCCCAGCAGGTGGGCCACTGACTTCTTGGGACTCTCAGTGAAATGCTTGGTGGTGGCTTTCTGATAGCCGTCCTGCTCTGTTTTACCTGCTTTCTTCTTCTTGCTCTTCTCTTTCTCCTGCTTGCTCTTTTTCTCAGCCTTCTTCATTTGCTTTTCACTCTTGAGTGACTTGTCTGGTTTCTCATTCTTCACCTTTTTTTTCTTCTCCTTCTCTGGTTTCTCAAGCTTTTCATGCTTTTTAGACTCCTTGGTTTTCGGGGGGGAATTATTCCCCACCTGCAGCTCCTCCTCCAGCTGGGAGGCAGTAGGCCGGCTGAGGTCATACTTATCCTCATACTCGTTGCTAAGAATTTTGTCCTGGGCCTTCTTTTTGGGAGGTTTCTCCTTGGCTGGCTTGTGAGAACCTGGCACCACATTTGGGTCCCGGTGGCCGTGTTCCCGCCTGTCCGTGCGGTTGTCCCGGAAACGGCCTGGGCCAGCAGCCCTTGTGCTGGGCTCCGAGATGGTGGTGGGAGGGGCGGCCGTGAAGCTCTCAAAGCTGGTGGCCTTGCTGGGCTTCCTGGTGGTCTGTGGCCTCTCCCTGTGTGGCTCCTTCCGGGCTGGAGGATAAAGATTCTCTGAGAATGAGGGCCCCCTTGCAATGGTCACCTCAGTTGTTGCCGGGGGCTTGTGGGGCGCTGAGGGGGTCCAGGGCCTCTGGGTGGTTGGAAAGGCAGTGGTGGTGGTAGGTCTTGTGGCTATTGTCACCACCCTGGTGGTGGCCCGAGTCGCCATTGTGGGTAGAAGAGGAGGAAGGGTTGTGGCCCTCGGGGTTGGGGGTGGTGGGGGGAAGGCTGCTGTCGTGGTGGCTGGTTTTCTCAGCACCTTCACCCGGCTCTCTCTGGTCGGTGGGACTGGTGGTCTCCTTGGGTCCTCTTTCCTCTTCTCACTGCCCGGGCTCGGCCTTCCTGCTCCTCCCCCGCCACCGTTCCCCTCCTCCACCACCTGGCCCTCTACGCCAGAGGCCTTGCACTTCTGGACAAAACCCTTCTGCCTGATCTTCTCTATCCTGCGGATGGGGCCCTGGTCGATGACCTCGTACATGGCCTCCAGCCTGACGGGGTACGGGTAGCGCTCCTCCACCTGCAGCGTCTTCTTCAGCAGCACCATGCCGAACTTGCCCTTCTCCAGCTTCAGGAAGCTCATCAGCTTCGGAATGAGGCCGGGGTCCAGGGGCTGCTCCAGGATCTGGCCCTCGCTGGTGATCCTCCTCACCTTGCCGCCTTCCTCGCCGGCCTGGTGGAACAGCACGATCTGCTGGATGTGCCTCTCCGCCAGCTCGCAGTACACGTCGTCCTTCAGGAGGCTCATCATGAGGCGGTAGTAGCCTTCCGAGGCGTGAGGGGCTGAGATCACCCACACCCTGTTCTTCCCTGCAAAACTGGCAAGAATGTTGGGGGAGCTGGACCCAGAGGGGAAACGCAACATTCTTGACCGAGCCGAGGACCCCTCATCTCGGACCATCTCTCGGGGAGAGCGCCGGGCTGCTGGTCTCTGCTCAGGTCTCACAGGGGCTCCACGGATGCCCGAGGTAGCTGGCAGCTCGGTGGGGCGAGCTAGTCTCAACACTGGCACACTCCTCAACACTGGCACACTCCTCCTTCTCTGGAGAGGCTGAAGGCTTGGGTCTTCCACAGTGGATCTCTCGATTCCACGAGACCTCCCCGTGTGCCTCAGGAGCCGCGCTGGCCTGCTGCCCCCTGGGGAAACCAAAGGCACTTTCTGCCCTCCAGGGCTCCTTCTATTCGTGGCATGGGGGTGGGGTTCTGACCCACACACCAGCCACATTGCCAGCAGCATGATGAAACGAGGACCCATTCTCCACGTCATTGTGTAATCCACTTTGGGGTGCAGCAGGGTCATAAAACAAAAAGGGGTGGGGGGTGGGGGAGAAAGAAAATTATTTAATTGAAAACAGAGCTGGTCATTTTCTCTTTCTCTATCTTGGCCAAGGGGAGGGTGAGGGAGTGATTGGAGAAGAAAGAGGGAGGTCAGGGAATGGAAAATAGGATGAGATCTTGTTGCTTTTAAGCCTCTGTAATTCGTCAGTATTTAGCAGAGACAGTTACATTAGGCAGGAAATCCAACTCAGCTCCCCAGTCGGGGCGTGCTTGCACTGTTTCAACTAACACTCTGGATGCTCCAGACACAATGCAAACTGAGCATATTAATTATGACAACACTCACATTTCATGTCTCCAAATAAGCAACAAAGAAACAAACAAACACAGCAAAGACAGAAAGGATTACACACTTACATCGTGGCTCATAGAGCTGGAATGCAGAGGGTTTCAAAAGAAATCTGAAGTTTGGTCCCCAGGACAGTTTCCTAGATGAAATACTTTTTCTCCCAACCCTCTCTCTCCTTGCCGAGGGTGAGCGGTACAAAAGGGGTGTGCTGCGGCTCCAGCTTTCAAAGCAGCACCACGGATCCACAGCACCAGCGTCTTGAGAGCTGAGCTGATTCCTTTTCTTTCTGGCTGTGTCTTTTTACCTTCTGGACAAGTAGGATGAGGTGAAAGGAGCTGTCCTTCTAAGTCTTTGTATCTCCATTTGTCTGTAGTTTCTCCTTGGTCTTGTGTGTCTGTGTGAGCCAGTCTCTTGTGCTGACACGAGAGGTCCCTTAAAGTTGAGTCCTGGCGATTTCTAAATCTCGCTCTTTCCCTCTTTAGAGTTCCAGGATCCTTCTTATCTCCCTTTCCCCCACAGTCTGGCTTAGTCCCTTTGTTTCCGGGCGTAAAAGCACTAGGATTAATATGTTTTCCAGGCTGAGGGAAAACACAGGAATGTGATGTTGAAAAAGGACTTTTTTTTTCTTTTCCTACGCTTCTCCCCTCCCTTTATTTCTCCCCACCTTTTTTCTTCTCTTTTCCTTCTTCTTTTTCTTCTTCCTCTTGCCTGGATTCAGTCCCAGAAATGTCAGGACTACCTCAGTTTTGCTCCAAACCAAACTCAAACAACAGCAGCCACTGGAAATCAAGGAAATTTCACTAAGAATTTAACAGATCAGCAAAACACCGCCTCCTTCCCATTTCAGCACGTTGAGAGTGGACTCAGTGAGCAGGGTGAGGGCTGCTCTTTGGAGTGGGGGAAAGTTTTGAAACGCTACACATCATCATAAATTACTTTAGAATAGGATGACTGAGGACTTAACCCCTTCCATACCAAGCATTCAGGGTACTTTTCCCTTCCTGTCTGTTCTCACACGGACCTTTGGAAGAAGAAAATTCTCAGATTTCTGTATTTTGGCTGCTTCGTTTTCCTAGAGACAGATATTCATTTGGGTCAGGGTGCTTGGCTGTACAGACACAGACAGTGTACACACACACACACACACACACACACACACACATATTCCCATGAGTATATTTTTATCTCTTTCTCCCTGCTTCATGCTTTAGTTTGAGGTTGGAAAAGCCCATGGAAAACATGACTGGGTTGTTTTTATTTTATGCTAATTGGGGATCATATTACTGTGTTCTTGGTCCTAGTTTCCCATTGGCATGGAAGGGAGCTGGTAAAAGGTTAGAAATGCAGGCAGTGGCTGCTCTTCCCCTGAGATTGCAGTTGCCTATTACGGCAGGGAATGAGCATTATGATCTCCAGCTTCAGGACTCTGGCTACAGATGGTAGACTAAGGGCTTCCTTGGAGGTCATGAGTGTGTGTGTGTGTGTGTGTGTGTGTGTGTGTGTAGCATGTAGCACCATATTTTGCTCTCCAGAGGCTCTAGGTGTCTGGAGAGCTTTAGGCAATCTTCAGAAGTAGCCTTATTAGGTTCCACAGGAGAAATTGAGGAAGATTTGGGCTTTTACCTCCTACGTCTCCCGTGAAGATTTAGCTTTTAGTGGAGAGGGAAGGTTATAAAATGTTTCTTCCAGGCTCTCCAAGGGCATACTGACTCTCCAAGTTGGTATTAACTGCCACCAACAGTGGTGAGGCAGAGTTCCCAGAAGCTCCTTTGCAAGATAGGCCATGATAATGGCTTCTCTCACTGGACTGAATCTCACCTCTAAGCTCCTACTCGTTGATCAGCTTCATCTCACCCTGGTCACAAGTGTCTTTCCTTCCCATAAGCTAAGAGCATGGAATTGAGGAAATCCTGTAGTGGTGGTGAAGTGTAGAGTTCTCAGCTAGCAACTTGAAGTCCAAGGAGTGCCAAGAAGGAAGACCCTGCTATGGCACCCTCTCAGACACTTGTGAGTACAGCAGCAAGGGTGGGCTTCCAACAGAGATCTCTGTCCACTGGAGTCAGAGAAGATTTCAGCTTCCATGGGATTCACCTGTTAAGTTGATCAAATGCCTTGTGCTAGGTTGGAGGGTGCTAGATGTTATTTCCTTTCTCATGATTTCCTAATGTGTTCCTTACTATCCTTACTGGGCTTCCTCACATATTTTCTCTTCTCCCTACTTAATAACAATTACTATTTATTATTGAGCATTGTCATGTGAAGCTTTAGGCGTGGCACTTCCATATATTCTTTTATTTAACCCTTACAGCATCCCTGTGAGGTAGGTAGAATGATCCCCATTTTGTAGATGAGCAAACTGAGGCTTGGTGAGTTCAAATAAATTGCCTATTGGACCGCAAATGGTAAGCAATAGCTCTGAAATTTGAACCCAGGTTTAAAACTGCCTCCAAAGCATGATATTACCCTGCCTCCCTCTTTCATTTTCTACCCATACCTTATTTTTTTCTCTTCTTACAATTCATTTTTGTGTTTCCCACATCCATAGTGGAGTCTCATTCACTTGTTCAGAGTCCTACTTTTTGGAATAATTGTGTAGCTATGCTTTTTGCCTTTGCAATAGGTCCCTAAAGCCTTTTATTCTTTTTCTTGAATATATCATGGATTCTACCAACCTCTCCATGATGTGCACCACGTTCATCACTTGTGCACTGGTAAAGCTGAAAAACAGCCACGTTAGTGACGTGGAGTTGATCCAGAAGAGAAGCTATTCCAATGCTGGGCTGTATCTCTTTACCTGGGACCTGTCTTCCATCCCTGTGTGAACTTCAGTCACTAGATGGCGAGCTAAACACATACTTGGAAGAGGACCCAATACTCTGCCACCTCTGTTACCCTCCACCAAAGCCTCTCCTATTCCTCCTTGCAAATGTACACACACCCAGGCAAAGTGAGTTCTCATGCTTATTCAGGATTTTTCCATCTCAGTGCTTACCTGTGACCTCAGAAAAGCCCTCGGGGAAGTCTGGGAAACACATGCTTAATAAGAGCAATTCAAACTTCACATCCATCCATTTCTGGAGAAGCCGTAATGACTTATGGCTTGTAATGATTCTCAATTCCTAGTCCATTACTTAAGAGCTCTGTATTAAAATGTTCCCCATTTAGATCTTTCCATTTTTCTGCAATCTAAGAGAGGAACAACCAAACTAATTAGTGTAACGGGAGTGGAGATAACTGAGAGGAAAAGATTGATGTCAAGTCAGAGAAAGTTTAAAGGAATAAAATTTGAAAGTAGATTTTAGAAATGCTAATTTAGGAATTCACTGATGGGAGACTATCTGATATTGGTTGCATAGTAATTTGGGGGGAAGAAAGGAAAGTATGTATAAACCAGACTTGCTTTAAAGAAACTAGGGCGGGGGTCAGCTATTTGATGAAAGCTGGAGTGAATGTAAGGAGGCATCCAGAAAGAGACGCACTCACCCACACCGAGTTAAGGGTCCAGCAACCTGGGATCAAGGCTCAGAGGAACACACTGTCTCTGGCACACGAGAGAAACCAGTGTTTCTGTCACATGAAGTTGATTCTTTTGCACAAATTGATACTCAGTGGAGGTTAGTGAATCGAATTGAAAACATTGTTCTATTGCTTGAAAAAATCATATGCTTATGAGGGAGGAAACAAACAAACAACAAAACAAGAAAAGAAGGAAAAAAATAACAGGCTCTTCAGTGTAGTCTTGGAGGGAAAGCACGTCTCCTGCTCTGTGATCACTGGTATCCCCAGCAGGAAAATTAGCAGAGCCATCTTATTAGGTTATTAAGCATGGATGTCCAATTTCCTTAAGTACTAAGTTTGACAGTTGACATCGCTGACATTTCACTTTGACATTTCTTATTTTGCGTTATCTTTATTGTGAAGGTACATCTTCATTCTTTCAAATGCACAGTTTGGCTTATGATTATCTTTAAAAGTTTGAATATACCTAACCAAGGAGGTAAAAGACCTCTACAGGGAGAACTATGAAACACTGAGGAAGGAAATAGCAGAGGATGTAAACAGATGGAAATCCATACCATGCTCGTGGATCGGCAGACTCAACATCATCAAAATGTCTATACTACCCAAACTGATCTACAGATTCAATGCAATAGCTATTAAAATCCCATCCGCATTCTTCACAGATATAGAAAAATAATTTACGCTTCGTATGGAACCAAAGAGACCCCAATATCAAAAGCAATTCTAGGCAACAAAAACAAAAAAAGGCATTAATATGCCAGATATCAAACTATACTACAAAGCTGTAGTAATTAAATCAATATGGTATTGGCACAAAAATAGGAATATTGACCAGTGGAACAGATGTGAGATACCTGATATAAAACCATCCTCATATAGCCATCTAATCTTTGACAAAGCAGACAAAAACATACGCTGGGAAAAGAATCCCTTTTCAATAAATGGTGTTGGGAAACTGGATAGCCACCTGTAGAGGCAAAACAGGACCACACCTTTCACCTCTCACAAAAATCAACTCACGCTGGATAACAGACTTAAACCTTAGGTATGAAACTATTAGAATTCTAGAGGAAAAAGTTGGAAACACTCTCCTAGACATCGGCCTAGGCAAAGAGTTTATGAAGAAGTCCCCAAAGGCAATCACAGCAGCAACAAAATAAAATAAAGGGACATGATCAAACTACAAAGCTTCTGCACAGCCAAAGAAATAGTCATGAAAGTAAACAGACAACCTACAGAATGGAGAAAAATTTTTGCATCCTATGCATCCGATAAGGACTGATAACTAGAATATACTTAGAACTCACGAAAATCAGGAAGAAAAAATCAAATAACCCCATTAAAAAGTGGGCAAAGGACTTGAACATAAACTTTTCTAAAGAAGACAGAAGAATGGCCAACAAACATATGAAAAATGCTCACATCTCTAATCATCAGGGAAATGAAATCAAAACCACAATGAGATATCACTTAACTCCAGTGAGAATGGCCTTTATCAAAAAGTCTTCAAACAGTAAATGCTGGCGTGGTTGCGGAGAGAGGAACACTCCTACACTGCTGGTGGGACTGCAAACTAGTTCAACCTCTGTGGAAAGCAATATGGAGATACCTTAAAGCTATACAAGTGAATCTACCATTTGATCCAGCAATCCCATTGCTGGGCATCTACCCAAAAGATCCAATGACACTACAAAAAAGACACCTGCACTCGAATGTTTATAGCAGCACAATTCATAATTGCAAGGCTGTGGAACAGCCCAAGTGCCCATCAATCCAAGAATGGATTATAAAATGTGGTATATGTATACCATGGAGTACTATTCAGCTCTAAGAAACAATGGTGACATAGCACATCTTATATTTTCCTGGTTAGAGCTGGAACCCATACTATTAAGTGAAGTTTCCCAAGAATGGAAAAACAAGCACCACATATACTCACCAGCAAATTGGTATTAACTGAACAGCACCTAAGTGGACACATAGGCTACTACAGTAATAGGGTATTGGGCAGTGGGGAGGGGGGAGGGGGCGGTATATACATACATAATGAGTGAGATGTGCACCATCTGGGGGATGGTCATGATGGAGACTCAGACTTGTGGGGGGAGGGGGGAAATGGGCATTTATTGAAACCTTAAAATCTGTACCCCCACAATATGCCGAAATAAAAAAAAAGTTTGTTTTAGAGCAATTTCTGTGAAATCATGGATAAGTAAAATATTCGTGTTATTGTCAAATATGAATTCCATCATGGAACCAATGCAGAGCAGACAGCTTGAAATATCAACAAAGTGTTTGGGAAGGATGTGGCTAGTGAACGCACAGTACATTGATGGTTTGAGAAATACCATTCTGGTGATTTTAATCTTAAAAATGGGCCAAGTGGGCGACCTGAGGCCAAGATGGCTAAAGATGAGCTAAAAGCTATAGTGGGAGAGAATCCATCTCAACCTACCTGTGAATTAGCAGCAAGGTTTGAAGTTACTATTCCAATAATATTAGACCATTTGAAATAAGTCAGCAAGGTAAAGAAACTCAATAGATGGGTACCACATGAATTAAATGAGCATCAGAAGAGAAATGGTCTCAAAGCTTGCCTTTC